AGTATATTGATAGTGTTGAATGTAATTAATATATTTAAAGTTCATGAAAAATTTCAAAATTATAGAGTAGGAATTATCCGTTCTCCAATTCTTGAAATCTTTATTTTATCATTCATCAGACACCTGGTTTGCAAGTTGACACATCAGGAAAACACTACCATGGACATCATCCAATACAGCTTCGGATATGCAATTAATTATATATAATGCAGAGAAAACAAAATGTGTTAAGTCAGGTTGAAATCAATACTTATTCACTCAAGTTAATAGTGTTTTCTTCTTACGTAATTACAATTGTGCATCAATTAAAACATCTAAATAGTTCATATATATTACTGTACATCAACAAACATAAATGGTATAATAGAGCGTACCTAGATCGCATTAATACACTGCATACATGGAAGTAGATGGAATTGTATAGTATTACTTACTACTGCACTGAGAACAGCTTTCACAAAAGTTGATGAGGGCGAATATCATTCTCAAATGTTACACAGTAATCTGGAAAGTTATGTTCAATTCAGGGTGAAAACTACACTTGCCTACTCAAGTTCATGTGAACCACAGCCGTCCGCTGGTGTTTAATTGCACTGTCTGCACACTAGTTTTACCTTCAAGAACAGAGTTTCAGAATCATTTAACGCCCTCAACAAAAGGATTGCGCACTGCTGTCTCTTGGTGGCGCTATGACCATATGTATGCATATGATAAAGTACATGGTATTTGCATCTCGCTATCAATGATATAGGCATCCAATAAAACAAGAAAATACGATGGGTTCGTAAATGTTATAAAAGAGATCGCTTTTTCATAACTGTTAACAATCTCAATGTTTTTAAATAAATGTCTGACATAAATGATCGCTTGTTTTACCAATACTGCATTAATTCGCTAGGATTTCCTAGGTCACGGTACAACAATCTGCTTACACGTCAACCACTAATACTCTTTCTCCTTAAATGTTCTTCTCGTATGTTATTGTCATATTTTTATACAATTATTTTTTTTCAAAATACAATCATGTCTGCCATTTCAGCTATTGCTTTATCGCCAGTCTAACTTTCCCACCGATATTTTTGTCACAATTTTATTCATATCGCCAACTTTAATCTTGAGATAAATGAGACGTTTAGGTTTTAGTGTATGATCAATGGTCCGACTCGAACGTGTTTGTAAAAACCGGGGGTAGAAAACATCCTGACGTGCCCCCGATGGTAAATGACGTACTTCATGACTTTACCCTCCTCCTAATATTTCGGGAAGTGTTCAATCTTAATTTCAACTTTGATTTGCCGTGAAAATACTTTAAGCTACTATGGCATAATACACTGCCAGTGATAATTGTATCTGTTGCTATGATATCTTTGTGTGTTTTGACTGTAACTGAATTATGCATTTGCGATTTTGTCCCAAAAAATCATTATTAATTCCAATACTTATGTTAGATCCTATAAATTAAATTACATTAAAGTGCCTGTGAAATGGCTGCTATTTTCACGCCTAAAATTATCAATTGATACATGAATATTATTAATTTTTATGTTTCTAAGCATGAATTATTTTTTAAGTGAAAAAATGTGTTTTAAACTGAGTCTACGGCAACTTTATTTTTGTGTATTTTAAAACGAGGCTCCTCATTAGCTTCTCATTTGCATACAGAAATTCCCCTTGTGACGTCAGAAGGGGAAGTCGCAAATTTCTTGTGCAGTTTTCTCGTCTTTGACTATATTGTCACTTATGTACTTGTTCGTCGAGGAAGAATGGACCATAAAGAACACATAGTATCAATAGTTGTTGCATGGGGTTGAGTTAGATGCGAAATATGTTCGTTCTGATGTAGCTGGTCACCGTGATCCTCACTGACACCGGCGCACCTTTGTACACTGTCTTGGACAAAATAGAATTTGACGTCGGAATTATCTCGTTATTTAGCAGGTTACTAAGCACGTCACTACATTGTTTTATTCCATCGATAGTCTGAGTAAAACTTTCAAAATTAAAATAAAAGAGAACATATTTTGACATTCTAAACATTAGACTATAGTGATCACTATAAAATAATTTAAAAAACGACAAATCACAGTTACTAAATAAATGACAGCCGCGTGGAAATAAATTGACATTTTGTTGAAATAGGTGAACGCGTCGGGTCACGGCGAGGGCAAGTGCGTTAA